ATAAATACTGTGTTTATATGTATTCTAATGGTATATTGGTCTTCCATGGAATCCATATGGAATGCTCCATGGAATCCATATGGAATGCTCCATGGAATCCATATGGAATGCTCCATGGAATCCATATGGAATGCTCCATGGAATCCATATGGAATGCTCCATGGAATCCAATGTGGATATGCCTGCATTCCATATGGAATTCAGTGGAATCCAGGTGGAATGGCAATGGATTCCATATGGAATTGACCATTCCATGACCATTCCATGATCATTCCACATGGAATCCATGATGTCCATGGAACAACAAATTGGCTGTGGTCTCAGCCAAGATTCATTCCATGGATTCCACATGGAATTGGTGATGGATTCCATGGATTCCACATGGATTCCATATGGATTAACCCAGGGAAGGTAAAGACCTCATTTGCACATACCCTGAGGCTCCACAAGTAAATAAAATCACTGAGCAGAGCATTTTGAAATATGGTCTATTGATACCTTGATAGCTGTAAGTAGACCTGAGAAGGATGTGAATGAATAGACGAGGATTGTGAATGTCCCAAAGCTTTAAATGTGTACAAGATTGATGGAAATGCAGGCAAAGGGGAGGGGCAATCCCTGGGTCTATCATTCAAAGTCGTTGTTCTTTCCATCCATTGTTGGTTGCCAGAGGTGTGGGCCTGATTTGGGCCTGATACTCATGCAAACTTGTGTGGCATCAGTGCTGGTGGTTCATTCATGTTTAAAAGGTGAGGCGAATGCGCTGGAAGCAACTGGTGCCCACCCCACAGTGCTGGCTATGTACACTGTGTGCAGGCACACTAGTGGAAGACTCAGCTCTGCTTAAATACCACCAAGTTTGCCTCTATCAAGGTTTGTTTGTTCAGTTTTCTATCACTGCCACCGAGTGCCAACCAACTAAGCTATTGACAGGCAAATGTTCAAAATGTGCCCACACCAACACCTGCCCCGCCTCCAATAGCAACTCTGAGTCCTGCTGCCAATCCATATAGTGTTGCTGGAAAGGACAGGCAGGAAGCCACCAGATTCGACGGCGCACCTCGAGAAAGAGGTAGTCGATCATTCCGTTTCAATCCAAAGGGAAAGTATGTGGCCTTGGCGAATCAACAAAGGCAGGAGGCACAGCTTGAGGCATTGAAGCAGCTTATTGCTGAGAGTGCACGTAAGGCTGGGTTGGATGGCGACATGGGTATTGAAAAAACGATCAAGGTGTGTTTGGTCCCCCTTGTTATCTTATATACAATAATAAAGCAACCTATAGCGTGGTGCACCACCTGTCGCTGAGTGGTGGGATGCAGCGTTGCTCCCAACCAAGAGCTATGATGATATTGAGATGTTTGGTTTCGAACAACTCAATATTAGGACATTGGATTCTCCTATCACAATATACATCCAGCATCCTATCCCCATCCCTGCTCCTGGGGAGAAGGACAAGATAGCGTTGAAGCCTATGATGTTGACTAAGAAGGTACAATCTTCCCAGTCAGTGTTTCTTCCAATTCCAACAAATATCCTGTTCACAGGAACAAAAGAAGATGAGGAAATTGAGGAGGAAGGAGGCTTTGCAAGATAAGAGAGATCAGATTCGTATGGGACTGTTACCTCCTGATGCCCCCAAAGGTAAGCATCTTCTTGTGATTGACAGATGACCTACTCACCTCTATCTACAGTGCGACTGGCCAATCTTATGGAGGTTCTAATGTCGGATGCTGTCCAAGACCCGACCCGAGTTGAGGCTCGTGTGAGACGTGAAGTAGCACAGCGCAAGCACGGGCATGAAAAAATGAACGCTGAATGCAAGTTGACTGATGAGCAACATTGCGAAAAGGTTGAGGCGAAGAAGGCAGACAAAGAAAAGAAGGGTATTTATGGTGCAGTGTACAAGTACATTCTCTTTTTTCCTTCATCACAGACAACTGAAGCTTCGTCACAGTACTTTACAGTGCCCCACCTATTCCTGCAGGAATCCTGTCATTCCAGTGGAATCCACAGGAATCCACAGGAATTCCACAGGAATCTGCAGGAATTCCACAGGAATCTGCAGGAATCCACTGGAATTCCACAGGAATTTATGAGTCATGTGACTTAAGATGTATTTATTCAACTCCAACATCATTCTGACCACTTTTCCTGATAAAATTTGAAGTTAATAACTTGAATTGTAATGTATTGAATGTATTCAAAGACATGGGATGTATTTTATTACAAATTAACATACAGTCTATATTTAAAGAAGGGGGGACAGTGGGGCAGGGACAGGGAAAGGGGGTGGGTGAAAGACAAGGCAGTGGGGAAGGAAAGGGGTAGGAAGGAGGGGAGAGTTATGGAGGGAGGGAGTGGTGGACAGGGGGGAGTGATGGAGAGGGGAGTGGTGGAGGGGTAGGGAAGGGAAGGGGGTGATGGAGAGGGGAGGGACAGGAATGGGGTGGAGTGACAGAAAGAGGGAGTGAGGGAGGGGGAGGCCCATTTTCATTCATGCGTGGTCGTTGACGCGGTGGCGTTGGCGTGGACGTCGTCGCGTTGGCGTTGACACGTTGTCCCCTCTTCTGGCGTGGACACGTCGTGGGCGTCGTCGTCGTTGGCGTGGACACGTCGTCGTCGTCCATGGTTGTTTTATGGGCGCTGGGCGTTGTTTCGCGTCCGTTGGGCGTTGTTTCGTGTCCGTTGGGCGTCGTTTCGGGTCCGTTGGGTGTCGTTTCGTGTCCCGGGGCGTTGTTTCGTGTCTTTCGATGGGCGCTGGCTGTTTTTGGTGGGCGCGGGTGGTTTACGGTGGGCGCTGGGACGTTTTCGTCAGCGGCGTGGGCTTTTTGTGGGCGCTGGGGTGTTTTCGGGGGCGCTGGCGGTGTTTTCGGTGGTGCCACGTCATTGTCGTCTGTCGTCGTCCGTTGGTTGACACGTCGTTGGTGGGCGTGGGCGACGGATGCGGATAGCGTCGAGTGAAGGGGATCGTGGTGGTCACGACGAGCGGTGGTGGCGACGGGCGTGTTTGGCGGCGGTGACAAGCATGATGGTGGTGGTGGAAGGAAGAGGGTCGTGTTTGGTGAGCATGATTGCCAAACAGATATTGTTTGTTATCCATCTCAAATAAACAAACTATAATACATAACAAATAAATAAAATAAACAGATTGCAGTGGAATTCTGTTCCTGCACATTCCGGGGAACCCTATTCCTGCCCATTCCGGGGACCATTCCGGTGTAAATTCCGGAATGATCAGATTCCACCGGAATGAGAAAACACAGGAATGACAAATTTAGCAGAGCTTACTGCTAAATTTCATTCCACCGGAATCCACAGGAATCCACCGGAATTCCACCGGAATGACCGGAATCCTGCAGGAATAGGGGGGGCACTGATAAGACCTCGAAACTTGGGCCAAGTTTCTTTATGAAGAAGTATACTGTCGATTTGGAGGAGTTCTTCTCTGTTTGGTCGACGGCGGTTCTGAATTCAAGGGAGCGGTCGAGATTCTTTTCAAGCAATACGGAGTTGTCGCTATTGTTTCCTCGCCTTACCATCCAGAGGGCAACGGTCATGCAGAACGCTCACATCAAACCCTCGTCAATTCGATCCTTCGGGCTTGTGGAGATAACGCGTCACGATGGCCACTCTACTTGCACGCTGGTTTGTGGGCGATGCGATGTTCGACATCAAGAGTTACGGGATATCCCCCTTATTTTCTTCTTTATGGTCGTCACCCGATTTTTGCTTTTGACTTTGCAGACAAGACTTGGGATACACTTGATTGGCACAATGTCGCTTCAACGGAAGACCTCCTCGCGCTACGGATGCAACAAATTCTACGGCGGGACAAGAAACTGGTACTCGCGATGGACCAGCAAAAGAAGGTTTGCCAACGGGCTGTTGATGATTTCAACCGTCTTTTATTATCGAGAGGAACACCAAACAATCCGTACAGTTCAACCTACAGAATATGCCCTACATGTTGCAGCCGTCTCTTCGTCCTCAGCGCATGCTTCAACAGTCATTGGGACCCTGAACCAAGACCTCCTCATCACTCCGCCCTACCCAGTTTCTGTAAAAAGCGGCGAAGCATCTTTCCCAAATAACCGCTCGCTAGTATCCTTCTCGACTGTCACTCCATTTGCATTTACGTCACACAGCCTTCACTACCGCTACCACCCCACCATTGCAGAGCTCGACCCTATGGACTACAATGCCGTTCAGTACATTCGTTTCAATGCATCCTCGAGCATCGTCAATGGGCACATCCACGAACATCTGCTCGAAGACTCAAATATACGCGACCTCGAAGCTTGGGCTCTCGCCGCTCTCCCTCTCTGCTAAGTTTTTCCTTCTTTTCATTTGATCATTACCCCGAAACGATGGGGGCATCATTTTAATTTTCTCCCTATTGTGGAAGTGCCAAATGACGTATTCATGACCAAGAAGTCTTTTATTTTATTTTTAGGGACATCAAGAGTATTTTCACAGTTCATTCCAACGTACACACAAGCACGTTGATGAGAAAACTTCACGTTGAAGGAGCTTGGTCCGGGCTTTCGTTTTCATACGCTTTTTCTTTTTGTGTTTTCTTTTTGTTAAATGTTCTTTACTTACGACAAATCCTTGTGAGCTACCAAGGCCTTACTTGAAGACTGGATGGTAGGGTTGAGAAACCAATGGCTGGGATGCTCGCGTTGAGGGCGGCAACGCGCACGTAAATAAGCATCTCCCAGCGTTGAGCAACTCCCCGAGCAATCCCCAGTCCAAGGGTTCCGCCAAGGCATCTGACAGGAAGTGTCAGCGTTGTTTTCTTTTATTTGTTTTCTTTTTCGACACTTCTTTGTCTTCTTTTCTTATTTTAGATTTATTGGGGACAGGCAGCACGCGAGAACGTGCAGAATGCCTTGTGATTTCTGAATTTGTACTTAAAGGTGTCCTCCCACCTCACGAATGGAGCACTTTCTTTTTCCCCTCTCTCCCAACTCTTTCAACCGTCTTCTAAGTCGTCGCGCACCACGGCGCGGCATTCCTCAAGTTGAGACACATTAAGCACGTCGAAGATCTCACGCCACTCCCTCTAAGCGCGTTGGAAAGCTCACACCACGCCTTTAAGCTTTTACAGTTTTGATATACGCTAAGTACTCTTTTCGGTCTCTCCTTTGTCTCTTATCTCTCCCCCTTCTTTCGTTTTCTTTCTTTTACAAAGTAGTCAACCGGTTCTTTGTCCCCAGTACTGAACGTTTGTTCTTCCACACCAATATGCATTGGTGGCTGAGTTGTTGCCCTGATAAAGATAGAGGCCGTAGTGTCAAAAACACAACATAGGGGTGAAAATCACTTACAGACTTATAGGTTTCTGTGACTTGTCAACTCCCTTCCAGTCTCAAGCAGTTTGAGAGGAGCAGGGAGAGAATGCTCATGGACAAAACATAGGCATATTGTTGGTGCATTGTTGAACTGATCAGCATGACAGGATTTACAGTGACTATACAAAAGCCTTGCACCACACAGATAATTCTATATCCTCTCCAAGTTCCAGGGAATAGTTACCATATATATATGGTAATAGGTAATATACAAATGTTCTATATACATCTTTGACATGAATATGAGATCTGGATCATGCCCTGCTCCATGTAGAAAAAAGTAAAAGAAATGAGGTTTTGAGAGTTTTACAAATACTTTATGTTAAAGCATCCACTCATGGTACATGTACACAGTGAAGCAGAATCTGCATGCACCAAAAAGGAAATTGAAGCAGGAATTGATTTGTTGAGCAAGGAGAAAGAGGTGTTTGTGGCCACTCAACGATGTGTTTGGAAAGATGTGCAGAGGATGGAACCAGGAAAACATTTGAGACATATGGATACATCGCAAGAGGCAGCACGAGTGTTTTGGGGATGTGCTACATGTGTATGCATTAAAAAGGAAATTTGCCTTATTTGGTAACACATAGTAAGATTCTTTTCCTCCACTAGGACCATTCTACTATATTAGGAGATAAGCTGACAAATAATCTCCTTATTTGGTCAAATTGCCTTTGTCCTTTACATTGTAACACTTTGA